CACACACCCACACACACACCAGTGTCACTGGTAGAGCCCATGTGTGTACTGTAAGTAGATCTTGGAATGATATTTTTGTTTTCATATTTTTGTTGTTGTTATCAGTAGGATGTTGGCCTTAGCAATCAGGAGTGATGAATGTCTTATTTAAAAATAAATGGTCATTTTTCAATCTCCAGCACTACAAAAAAAAACAAAAAAACAAGAATAAAGGACCCTCAAGTTCTGGCTGATTACACAGTGCAGTTTCACACACTGTCTGACCTTAAGATTGCAGTTTGCTGTGTGGGGACAACTTTGAGACCTAAAAGATGATTATATATGTATTATATGCACAGGTCATTATGTCCTTTTTTAACTGTAACTGACAAAGTGTGTTATTTTGATGCTCTTTGTCCTTCAGGTCTGCTAATAGCCACCTGCCTAACAGTACTAAATTTACTAATAAAACCAGAGGATGTAGGGGAGCCAGTAGCTCTAGGCTCCCCTCCTTGACCCTGAACCTGAGGCTCACCGTCAAAGTGCCATCACATTTTGCTCACCCCAAGCAATCAAGAAACAATAAATACTTATTTTTTTGAGACAAAGTCTTTCACTATATAGTCCAGGTTGGCCTTAAACTCAGAGCAATTCTCCTGCATCAGTTTCTCAAATTCTGGAACTACTGGCATTCACCACTATGCTTGGCTTGAGGCAACAAGTACTTCCTGAAAGGCTTCAATTGGTCCTGACTCCCCTTAGCTCCCAAACTGCTTGCCAGCAGAAGCACTACTCTCTGCACCAAAGTCAGCACCAAAGCTGTCATGGGCAATCACAGGAAAGAAGATAAGATAGAACAAGAAACTTTTCAGGTTCTGGGACGTATGGGAACATCTGAGACCTCTGAAGACACCTGAAAATTTACACTGTATGCTACCAGGACTTTGCCTGCTGAGGTGCAAGACTGCCAGAGAACTTTGATCACAGATGTTTATTAAAATTTTTCCACCCAATGTCCTCTGCCTTCTTTCCATCCCTATAAAAGGGACACACTTCTCTTTGTTCCCTGCAGACAGCTGTATCGCTTTCTGCCTGCCTACATGGAGGAAAAAATAGATTCCACGCCATTCTATGTGTCTTAGTTACTTTTCACTCATTGCTGGTACAAAATACCTGATGCCCAAAGTTAATGAAGGCAAGATTTATTTCTTACAGTTCTTGGAGGTTTCAGTCTATACTCAGTTGGCTCCAAGGCAGCGTGGCATGGTGAGGTGCCATTCACGGCTGGCTGCAAATAGCAAGGTACAAACCTACAAGAGAGAGAGAGAGAGAGAGAGAGAGAGAGACCTCCTTCCCTTCGTTACATCATATCCTAGCTCTACACCCATAGGCAAGTGAAACACTCACACCACAAATCTGAACAATCAACCAATCACAAACCCTACATTTGGTTGCATCCATAATAGCATGAGGCTTGGAGGCCACCGAAATAAATCATGACACCAAGTTTCATTAACAAAAGCATGGTGGTCTCTTCTGGTATATCCTTTCTCTCCCTGTATATTACACTTCATATGGACTATCCTCTCATCTCAAAACTTTGCTTTCTTTGAATTGTCTCATTCTTCTTACCTATAGACAATGTGGTTTCAATGTCAACAGTTTATGCTTTCTCCTCTTCTAATTTTCATTAGCAGATACTCTGGGATTTTAGATCCAGTAGATATTTCTCCACATTCTATCTAGTCTTGCTGCTGAAGGCTCAGGGAATTTTCCCAGGACTACTGCTTTTTTTTGTTTGTTTGTTTCACACCTGTCATGGCTTATACCAGATATCTTTTTCTATCAAGGATTTTGGTTCAATATATTTCATAGACTATGATGTAATATTTTATACTGTGTGTTTTCAAAACAGGCTTGAATCAAAAAGATAATTTACAGACACACACACACACACACACACACACACATATATATATATATATATATCATCACCTATACTTCCTAAGTCTGACCTTGAAGAAGAATTAAAATTTTAAACAAATCCCAGTCAAAATAGCCCACCAAAACCAAAGGGATATGTCTGAACAAGTCTGACAGCAGCATTCTTTCCCTGTCTTGGTTGTAACTCTTGCTTGTTTAACTGATGGCTTTGCAATGTAACCTTAGACCGTTCAACTTTCTTGGCAACCAGTGATATCATCCAACCCTCCAATCATAATTGTTTAGGTATGCTTCTGTACATCCTACTTGCTGTGCTCCATAACAGCCCCGAAACCCAGCCAATCAGGGCTTTGACTCTTTGGGAGTGATCCCAGTCAGGTCCACCAGTGTAATAAATTGCTGTCTCCCAGACCTCCTTGGTTCTATGTCTTCCTAAGTCAACTTTTCTGATGTCACAACCTCGCTGGCTGAGATTAGACTTGCTATGAGGCTTTGTAACCTGAGCCAATTGATCTTCCATTTTTCCTTTCTCAATCCATGTTCTCTGTTGTAAGGATAACTTAATCCCTCTAAAATGGTCATGCTCATTGGACCAAGTCTAGGAATTTCTTGGTAGTAATGCTATAAATTTTTAACCCTAAAATCAGCTCTTTTTCTCTCTTGGAATTGTGGACTCTACTGGTGGTGGCGCATGCCTGTAATCCTAGCACCCTTAGAAGACTGATGCAGGAAGTCTTCTGATGTGTGTGTGTTGCAAGTTTGAGCCCAGCCTGGGCAACATGACAATTTAGCAAAACCTCGTCTCTAAATAAAGAATATAGACAAACAAAAAAGTAAACACACAAGAATTATTGACCTTGGAGTTCATTGTGCTAAAAATGTAACTCAGTATGAAGGTGCTGGGTTCAATCCCCAGTACCTGGGGTGACAAAAGGAAATATGAAGCCAATAACAAGACCAAGCCCCAAAGAGCAACAAAGGAGAATACTATATGTGTCCAAAAGTTAGTAAAAATAAAATTCCCAACTCAATTTTTCAGCCCACTGGGGTGAAGAGATGACATATATAGGATAAAAGAACTGAGAGGGAAGGACAGGCTAATAGTGGGGAAAGGATCCTGGATTTTCTGAAAATTTGGGCCACCTCTTTCTGTTGCTTTTATATTTTTTCTGATCATTTTCATGGCAATTTCTATCACAGTCCTGGGGATTTTGTCATTTAGCATGCTAGTGAAATTCAAGATTGTCTGGAGGTCATCCTGGAAGACATTTTGGGTTCAACCAGATTCTGCTTGCCAACTTAAAGAGAAATCATCCTGGCCTCAAAGATAATCAAATTGGGTTAGGATAGAAACTCAGCTGCATCAAGACAAGCAGGCAATAGTACAAGATTGGGGTAAGAAGAAGTCATGTTTGCTTTGGATAAGCTCCAGCCAGAGAATCCATGCAATCTTTGCCTTGCTGACCTTCTGCCTTTCCAGGGTAGGGGCCAAAGCATCCGAGTAAGCACTGCTTCAATGCCTTTTCACTGTCTTCAGGCAAAGCAAAGTTAGAATGGAGACTAGGTCTGAAAAAATTCCTGACTAAACAAAAGCAGGCATTAAAAATATCCTTGACTTTTCTTAAACTACAAACATCAGAGAGACTTAACTTGAGTCATTTCTAGCAAATGCTTGCAGTAGAGGAAAGCAAAATGTAACTTTAGCCAATCAGAAGCTGATATATAATTGACACGTAATTCTATTCTTGTCAACAAAGCTAAAAAGGGCCAGTTTTATAGCTAACCAATTAGATAATTTGTTTCATTTCCTGATTCATGTTATTCCTCTAATGTTTAGGTGTATGAGCATTATGCTCTTTTGATCAGATGCTTCCTAATTCATGAATTTATTTTGTTCAGATAAATGCAAGATACTTTCATTGTACTTCAGGTTTCAGTTTTAACATAAGACATTCCAGGTTAGTGACATAAAAATTCATTTCCTTTCTGTTACCTTCAAGCTGGTGGGTTCTTCTCTCAGCCCAGAAAGAATTACAAGGAAGAGTCAGAAGAGGACACAGCAAAGTATTTATTGCAGAGCCAGAGCAGAAAGTATGGCACCAGGTAGGACGTCAGGCAACCTAGGGGTCTTCTGAAAAGACCCGCTATCTTTCTGGATTTCTTGTCCTCTCCCAGGTGAGGAATCCAAGGGTCGGGGTAGGTTGTCTGATATCTCAAGATCTCCCAAATGGAGAATGAGATAATCAGGTCGTTGGCCACAGAACAAGGAACTCAGAAACAGAAGTAGTGTGGGGAGATGCCTGCTGAACAGCAAGCCACAGGGCAGGCAGAAGCTTGAAATGAGCTTCTCTGCTGGGATTTTTTGCCCATATATGGGGTTTCTGGACACTCTTTGAGGGATAAACAGGTATGGGGTGAGTTAAGGATTATGGGGTCCTCACTGTTTGATGTGCTTTAGGCCCATCAGAATCCCAGCCTTCTTTGCTGGGATGAGCTGTTGCTAGGGTAAACTAAGTTTTGGGGTCTTGGGCCTTTCCAGTGAATGCAGACAAGTGGGTGTGTAAAAATAACTGTTCTACACCTGTAAAGGTTTCACAAAGGGCAATTTCCCTAAGCAGGTGGTCTTTTCTATAATCGTCTGCCGTGTTAGCCATGCCATGAGGCCATATGTCACTGCCCATCTCTCCTTCTCAAGGTCCCTCCAGTGTGGCCCTTGCCTTCTCTGCCTGTCTGTGGACTTCCGTTTGCCGGAATCTTCCCACACTCCTCTCCCCTCCTGGCTCAGTGATGCTCTGAGAAATCTCACCCTCACACAGGGCCCTGCTTGTCCTCAAGGATTACTGCTGGGAGCCGATTGTTAGGCTAGGAAAATGACACTCAAACCTTACAAAACGGGGACAAAGCCCAGGCAAGTCAACAGCGAGAGCTCATAGTTTATTCTCTCCAAGACTCTGTTATCTGTTCGCTTCACTTTTGTACGGAAAATCTTGCAACATGGCCGCCCCCAGGGAGGCGCACTGAGGGAGTGGACATATTGCTCGCTAAGGAGCACAGGAAATCCAATAATCGAAGTCTTTACGCTCTCGTCGGCCGCCGTAGGCTCGCTGGGTTTAAATGCCAAAAAATCGGAAGTGTTCTCAGGACTCGCTTTAGCTTCTTGAAGATTGTGGCGGGTTCAGAGGGAAGGAAAGTGAATTTTTCCCTGGTGAAGGTTTAGAAGCGGAGAGGTTGTGTAGAAAGGAAGTTGGGGCGCCCTGCAGTCGGGGGTGCGAGGTCACAGGTCAGATTTGCGGGTCCCTCAAAAGGGCGCCGAGGTGGGAGACTGCGGAGGATCCGAGTATGTCAATGCAAACCTAGTTTGGGTTCCACCTAGGACTTCGCGATTACGCCGGGGGCGGCGCCCTCCCTGTGGGGGTTTGTGGGTCCGAAGGGGGCAGCGTCCCGGGATCCCGGGGCCGGGGATTGCAGATCGGAGGCCACGTGGCCCGGGAGGTCTCGGTGCAGTCGGGCTGGGGGTCGGGTTAAGGCTCAGGCTCAGGCTGCCTGGCTAAGTATGCGGTCTCCCCAGCCTGAAATCAGCAGCCTGTCCCACCGTTTTGTAGCGTAGATTTGCAGGCTTGCTGACCCCCGTCGTGGAAAAAGAATTTTCAGGATGCATCAGTGGAGTCCCTAAAAAGGATCATTAGGATGGAGATGGAGGACGCACCCAGGGGTGGAGAAATGAGGCGCTTTACAAGGTTGGAACTGGGACCATCTGTGTCTTTCGTCTTGGCAAAAGATACCCGCCTCCCACACGTCAGCCCGTCTACAGGTATGGATGATTTTTTTTTTAAATAGTAAGTAATTTGAACATTCTTTGAATTTACTCAACCTGCTCTTTTTCTTGGGATCGGGTTCCCGCCCCTTGTTCTATTAATTCAATTTATAGACTGGCATTCCCAAGGAATTTTGGGTGTGATGAGTCTGGTAGGTAAGGAGTCTTATTTGACCAGAGGACTGTTCATATATTGCTCTGGGTAACTTTGGCTGGTTCTAGAAGTTGCAGTCTTAACAATGTGTGTGTGTTTTAAGTTTTGAAAAATTCCCCTTTTCTTTTTACTTATTTCTTGTCCTACCTGGGACTGACCCCTGTAAAGGGGGTGTTCCTCCTCTGTTCTTCAAGCCCACAGATGGGAAAGTTAGGGAGAGCCAGGATTAAACCAGTCTGAAGTGGTGAGCCTTCTACACTTGCTCTGTAAGTTATACATGAAAAGAATAAAGAGTTAGTGTTGAATTTACTCTCCTGGTGTGAAAGTCTTCTGATTGTTTTGGCTTCTGACCTCCACTTCATAAGTTGATTGATTACCTTGTCTTCCATTCAATCATTCGTCTTCCTCTTGTCAAACATTTTAAGAAGTGAAAAATAATAATTGTGTTGTATCACTACCACCTTCCCTCTTCATGAGAATGTGTTTATCACTCCCTTTCAGGCCGTCATCCCAGTCCTATGGAGCCTTCATGACCCAATCTCCTAAAGGCCCTACTTCCTCCCACTACTGCACTGGAGTTACATTTCAGCCTGAATTCCAGAGGAATGCAAACTTTCCATCCACAGCAGTGGTTGGGAATTTAGATGTTTGGAGATGTTCCTGCCCTTCCCTGGTAAGAGTGGCTCACTGTGTCCAGTTGTTCTTTCAAGCAGTGTGCTTTATGCTGAGCACCTGCTTTCCCTCAAGATTCTGGCATTTTGGTGTGTTAGGTGACTTCGTACATCACCAGCCCCTGATAAAAAGCCCTGGGTCACTGCGTCTGTAAGAAGCTTCCATGGTTTTCATCATTTCACAAGTATTGTCACAATTCATTGCTGGGGAATTAAATGTGTTCTGTGTTACTTGAAGAAAAGAGGACTTTTGGAACACGTGTCTGGTGACCTCCAGGCTTCAAGTGTAATTTTAGCCTTTGCTATTTTGTTTTGTATCCTGTCATTGAGTACATCATAGGCAGGAATAGGGTTATCTACTGAGACTTATGAGGCCTCTTCATGTATCACTGTGCCTACAAGTGGCCTTGGAGGTCCTGAAAAACCCTGCCCAACATTCACCTTTCTCCTTTTGTAGCAGATTCTCTAGTGTTCCTTGCTTTATGGCATCATCACTCCAGTCTCTGCTTTTGTCTTTACCTGCTGTTTTCTTTTCTCCTGAGAGCTGTGTCTGTCTGTCTCTTACAAGGACATGGAGCCCATCAGTGGGATAAACTAATCTTGGGATCCTTAACTCAGTTATATCTGCAAAGGTGTAGATTCCAAAGGCCACATCCAGAGGTTTGTGGGAGTTAGGACATGGACCTATCTTTTGGGCAGCTACCATTTCACCCATACAAGTGAGTATGTGGGCACATGTGATTTAAAGAAAAGAAAAGCTCAGATTTTCATCTTTTCTAAGATTCCCCAAGTTGATGTGGCTGAGAAGTCCTGCCTCTCCCTTCCTTTGTTTTATTTTGTCATGAGAAAGGGGCTCGCTGTTTTGAGACAGGCTCAGACTTGTCACACTCGTGCCTCGGCCTCCCTAGAGCTAGCATTATGGGCCTGTACTACCATGCCCAACTGAAGTCCTGCATTTGAGGCTTCCTGGTATTTGGCTTCTTGTTTTCCACCTTTCCTTTCTCGTTTACACTACTTCTGGTCCTTAGAAGCAAAGCACACCTCTCCCATGTTCAGTTTGCCATGTTTTATTGTCCCAAGATTTTAGGGCATTAAATAAAGGGAATGGTTGGAAATACTGGACTTCACTCAGATTGTATTAGCAGCAGCAGCAGTACTGGGCCGTGGGGAATGTGTCACCAGCTGAACTTGCTGTTTATCCCACAGCAAGAACATTTGAGTAAAGAAAGAGAAGAGGGGGTTCCTGGATGTGCATATCATTTCGTGGGATATCCTTGGCTTAAGTAAAAATTTAAGGCAGATCCAGAAGACGCTAAAGACAGAGCATCTCAGTTCCTGGCTGTTCCTGAAGCAGAGGAAAATGACAAAGGCCCAGGTGACTTTTGGTTTCTTTTATTCTTAACTTGATTCCTTGATGGGTTTGTTGTAGCCCAAAGAAACCACTTCATTAAATGAAAAGTCTACAGTGGAGAAAATGAGCTGTGAATAGAAATAACCTATATTTAAAATTTAAAAAGTAGGGTGAGGAATATATTTTTGGGCTGTAACTCAGTGGGGGAGCACTTGCCTAGCGTACATGAGGCCCTGGCTTCCATCCCCAGAGAAACACATACATACATGGGTGTGTACACAGAGAAGTATATTTTTCCACGGAGTTAATGCTGTGTGACCTCTGTGTATTGGAATATAATGTGTGACTGCAGGACCCTGTTATATTAATCAGCTTGCATCTGGTGTCTCTAACAGCTGTTACCACCAGAGAATCACCATAAGTTACAGGGTGTCATATTTTCTGGTTTTCCCTAGATATGATGTGGTAGGCTGTCCCTAACAGCATTCTTGTAAAAGTCATACAAGCAGGTTTTGTTTGGCTGTTTAATTTTTTTTATTTTACTTACTTATTTTTGTCTTTTTGAGACAGGGTCTTGCTATGCTGTTCAAGCTGGCCTTGAGCTCACTTTGTAGCCCAGGCTGGTCTCGAACTCATAGTGATCCTCCTGCCTCAGTGTCCTGAGTGCTGGGATTACAGGCGTGCACCACCATGCCCAACCTATATTTTACTTTTTTTAGTTTGTGTTTGCAATATACAGTGATCACATTCATCACGTAGAATTTGTACACTTGTACAACACATCTTAATTTTTTTGCCTCCACCTGTCCCTCCAGCCCTTCTTTTACGTGATGATTATCATATATTCCTAAGGGGACTGAATGGTGAGGAATTCACTGGACACAGTTTTGCAAGAAAACACAGCCTGGTGACCTGTATCCCCTTGGTTTATCCATGAATAAAACCTAGTTACCTAGAAAACAGAGGGTTCACTGGCTTCAATAGGTTCTGTATGAAAACGTTACTGAGCTGGTGCTGAACACAGTCCTGGCCACGAGGAGGTAAAAGTTCTGTGTGGTAATGGCTTGCATTGTTAATCCAGAGCTTTAGCTTTAGATCCTTGTCTTGGAAATGCAGAGCAAGCCCTTCCTTGTGTTCAGATCCAGTTGTGAACCTCTGCTGTCTTATGTTAGGCAGCTTTTCATTGCTATAGCAAAATATCTAACTTCCTTCTGCTGGGGCCCACCTCTTTATGGCTCTGCTCCCTCTCTGTGGTGCCAGCCTTTAACACGCACAGTCCTGGGAACACGTCAAAATCATAGCAGCCCATTCATTGCCCTTATTTTTAAAATTACATGAATAACGCATTGCAGTACAATAAAATGTATACATTATGTATTTATGCATGCACAGACACATATCTTTGTCTTTGTCTTCTGACAAAATCTTTGGAATTTCCTGAATGGTAAGCATAGATTTTTGTTACTGTTTTGAGATAGTGCTCACATATGTAGCTCAGGGTGGCCTTGAACTCATGGTGATCCTCCTGCCTCAGCTTTCCAAGTGCTGGAATTACAAGCATGTACTACCATTCCTGGAAAGAGTATCTTTCTTTATTCATAATATGTGCCCCCCAGACCTGGCCTGTAATCCCAGTACTCTGAGAGCCTGAGACAGGAGGAATACAAATTTGAAACCAGCCTGGGAAACAGTGATTTAGTGAGACCTTGTCTCAAAATTTAAAAAAATAAAGGCTGGAGGCAGTTCAGTGTAAAGACCATGTGTTCAATCCCTGGTGTCATAAAACCAACCCTAACAAAAACAAAACAGCCCCTTTTATCCATACCTGAGTGGACTCAGGGTGGCTCCCTGGGAAGTGCAGCCTGAAGGCATGGGTACATTGTCAGTGGAAACATCAGAAGTTTGGAACTGTCAGTCTCACCCCTGCCCTGGTTCATACCAGGGACCATCAGTGGTCCCTGATTTTATCAATCCTGCCTACCCTAAGTAAACTTCCTGGGCATTCAGAGAGCTTCTGAATTGGGGAACACGTGGGAGGTGGAGCCCAACTCCACAAAAGCAAGCCCCATGCATTTGGGACTTTTTGGGACCTTTTGGGACCTTACCCTACTTACCTGTTCATCTGCTTACATATAGTAGTATAGAGCAGAAGGTAGAACATTTTCCTGAGTTTTATAGGTCATTTTATATCCTAAGGGGACAGAACCCTCAAATTTGTAGGGAGTTGGACCAAAGTGCTTCTACTGGCATCTGATGGAACTGCAGTCTGGTAGGACGCAGCCATTAAACCTGTGGAGTGATGATGCCAGGCAGTGTTAGAATAGTGTCAAAGTGTACATCACCCAGTTGGCATCAGAGAGGCAGAATTGGAGAACTGCTGTGCGAAGGCACTGCATGATGTCAGAACTGCAGACTCATGGGTACATTGTCAGTGGAAAGACTCAAATTACATAGTACACATTCTTTAGTAGCTCATTTAACAGATGCCTGTCCTTCCTTTGCTCTAGGTGGTTATCTGCATGGATACCTGGGTCTGCCTTTCTGTACATATCTATGTGTGTGTGTATCTGTACACATGTGTGCTTATGTTCTTACACATGCATCCAGGTATGTAGTCACTTGCATGTGGTATGACTTCTTTATGGCTAGCGAATACTTGTCATTTAACTTGATACTATAGCTTTATTTACATGATAGGGTCACACTGTGTCTTTTTATGTGGACCATATGACTATGTGAATATCTTGGTAGCCTGTGGTTCAGGTCTACAAGAGGGTCCACTAGAAAATTTGATTTATTGCATTAATGGGTGACCACCCAATTACAAAGTGTCTTAACTGCGTCTTTTACAATATATTACACAAAATAGGAATTACCAGGCTCATCCATGTGGCCTACATGATGAAGATGAGCAAACAGTTCTTTGATATTCCTTCCACTTCCATAAGTAGAGAACCGCTCATTAATAGGCTGTGTTGTTACAGGAGTCACTGACTGGAGGACGTGGCCAGGAGGTTCATATGGGAGCAGTGGCAGCTCCTGGGCCCTGCTCAGAAGGACCTGTACCAGGATGTGATGCTGGAGAACTACAGCAGCCAGTGTCAGTGGGTGAGGACCGCTCTCCCATGTCCCGTGGAGGGTGCCTGACAGTGGCCTTTCTTTCCTAGCTTCTGGAAGCTTTGGTATGTCTGCTATGCTTTCAAGTTGTAAATTCTCAGCCCATTATCTGGGCCCAAAGGCGGAGGTGGAGTCCTCCCTCATGTTAGAAAAAGCTTTTAATCTCCAGATACCTCGTATATTCCCTAAAATGTACCATGTTTTCACCAGAGATGCCGCTTGCATCTAAGTGAGCCCACGTCTTCGTTCATTTCCCACTTTCAGTGTTTCAAGCCAGCAGGCCAGATGCGTTCTGCACGTTGGAATGAGGAGAGCCACTCTGGACATCAGAAGATGAAATCCGCAGTCAGATCCATCTGGGTAAGTGAGAGCGGAGCAGCAGGAGGGGGAGGCCGCATTGCCTCCTGCTCATTGGAAAACTCAACGCACTCATGAGTGTGTGAAGATACAAAACAGCCTCCATACAACCTTCCCCCCAGAGGAGAGTTCTTTTTCTCTGTAGGAATTTTAATTCTATTTATCTGCCTTCTTAGTCTGCTGCTCCATACTCTGAGCTTTTCCAAAGGTTCTGTTTTCACCCTCTGCTCTGTCTCATAGGTCTTAAAAGATCTCATTGCATGTGTGTAATAAGCTGTTTTCCCATGGGGTTTCCCAAGCCATATCTTTCTTAACATCGTCCTATCCGAAAGTTAGTACCATGTAACTATCTCCATGGCAACTACCCTTGAGGTTACACTGTTAATGTGAGGAATGAGAATCATCTTCCTCACGGGAAAAGGCCTTTATCAGGGGCCGATCAGTCCCCTGATCTGTCTTGTGAGGGGTACAGTGAAAGAAACAGACAAATTTAATACTTTGTGACAGGAGGCCTGGGAGGTCAATGCCACAGGATGGGCAGAGATAGGTCTGGCCACTCTTTTTTTTGGTGAACATAATAATCAGGATTTACAGATGACTCAGGGCGGAGACTATGCTGAGAAGGCCTTATGCTGACGAGGGTCACTTTGGATGACATAGAGAGTGACCTTACGCTGCTGTGGATCTTTATGTTGATGAGGGAGGATCTTTATGTTGAAGAGATTGCAGGCTATGGAGTTTGTCCTTTCCCCAGGGTGAAACTATTTCATTACTACTGGGTTCTCAAGGAACCAGGATGTCTTCAGCTGATGATAATCTTGCTTTGGGGCATCACATCATCACAGGACCTTTGAGGCCTCAACTGTGACCGGAAGCACAGGGAATTATGTTCCCAAATACCACAGCAGGCCCATGTGGCCAGGTGCTAGGCTGCAGACAAGCACTATCACAGTTTCATTATAAAATGATTTTTTCCCCAACAATGGTATGGAATGGTCCCCAGCACTCCTTTCCTCATCCTTTTGTAAAATGAATTTTTCTTGTACTTGTTTTGGCATTCCTAGTATTTTCTTGACTATTTTCTGCTCTCTGGGGTCCCATATTTGAGTTCTCTGCTATTCCTATTCTTTGTAATTAGGAAAGATTTCATAAGATTCCTCGTTCTTAGTTGATATGTTATGTTTGTTAACCACACACTGTATAGTGTAATAAAAACCTCTTGACAGAACAGCTAGCCCATGGAGATACCACAGATGTCCTCCAAAAAGGCCAGGAAATCAAAGCACATTTGCTGTCAGCGTAAGGGATATGTATGGATCATGCTGTTGTCATGTGTGCAGACCGCCTCAGGTGTGACAATTGAAGTAAAGATTATTTTTTTTTGAAAAGTGCTATCAGTATTTTCATTGTAGTTCATATAAGAATTTATTTTTATTGTTCTATTTTAGACTTAGTACACCAAAAAACAGTTGATGTTGAACTTTTTGGTGCTTTTTATAAACACTCAGTGAATAATATAATAATAAAAAATAGAAATTCAATACTTTATTTTTGTGATATTTTTTCTGCTTACTACTCATTTCCTAATAAAACTCATAGAATTAAGATTAATGATTAATCAGTAGAAATATTCTAAAGAATAAATGTTGGTCTGACCCGTGTTTTTGCAGTTTGATGACAAAATTAGACATACGATCTTAAATGAACTGGTTGCTAAATGAGGAGCTGTCTATATGTATAGTGTGTATATTATAATATTCAGAACAAAAGATGGCCAAAGGAAACTCCAACTTGATGACCTTGTTTTATTTGTATGCAGCTTTGTGTAATGTGTAACAGGACATAAAACTACAGTGTTGTACTATACAGTACAGCCAGCAAAAATTACAGTATTGTGTAAACCATATGAACTATACAAAAAAAGGACAACATGTGTGAACAGTACAAATAGTTGCAGGTGGTTAAGCTAGGGGGCCTGAGGTTGTGATATGGTTGTAATTGACAAAGTCAAATATAGCACAGGTATCCTCAATATTCCTCACTGTCTTTTTTTTTTTTTTTCTCCTGGTGTTGGAGATTGAACCCAGTGCCTTCTGCATGCTAGGGAAACATTTTACCACTAGCTATACTCCTACCATTTACTTTTTATTTTCTGAATTTTTAGACAAGATCTCACTAGCTTGCCAGACTGGCCTTAAACTTAGAATCCTCCCACGATAGCCTTCGCATAGCTGGGATTCAGTAATGCATTGCATTCCCGTCTCATCCTGTTAAGCACCACCCACTTACCCTTCAGCTCCAGCCAACTATGTAGGAGACCCCTTTGATTCCGTGTCATTACTTCATGGCCCCTCATCCCAGAGTGAGTCTTCTCATCTTCTCACATAAATCCTGATTTCATCTATTTCCCATCACTTCGTTTTCTTCAGTTATCACATTTGCAACTGCCTAGCCTTTTCTTTCTGTTTATCTTGTTTTTCTCTCTATCCCTAGGGTAGCACTTCGGTGAGGTTAAGGAATAGTGTGTTTTTCCAGTGCTCGCACCACACCTGAATTTTGCAGTAGTCACTTCATGAGAAACTGTTGAGTGAATGAATCCCTCACTCTTTTGGATCCAGCTCTGTGGTACAGTGCTCACAGTGACTTTCTTGTATGTTGTTAATGCCAAAGCCCTCTTTGGAAAGCAACCAGTACTGTCTGGCTGTGTTTTATACTAGTGATTGTTTATCATGAATATCACTGTTTTTTCCATGTCCAGGAGATAAAGTGCTTTGTATTTAATGGCTATAGTTTCTTACCTCAGAAGCAGGAAAATATTCTGGAGTTGGCTGGTGGCGATGATTGTGAGTGTGCTTATTAGCACAGGTCTGCACATTTAAAACTGGTTAAGTGGCAAATGTTGTATCTAACCGTAATAAAAAAGTTTTTTAGAAAGGAGATAAAAAACATTTATATATGGAATTACTTTCAGGTAATAGCATATAGTTTTCACTGAAGTGCCAGCAATCTTTAGTTTTATTCCATAATGATGTTCACAAAAGGATTCATTGTTCTTTCTTTCCTAGAAAGCAAGAAAGCTGATGATCATCTGCAGCAGCAATTATAAAACTGAAGAAGACCAAAGACGCTGGAACAGTGTTGTGAACAGAATGCACTTGGAAATAAACACCATTTTCTTTTAGGCCCAAATCAGGATATGTTTGATTTACATGGAAAAAGTTTGAAACTTTATTTAGGTTTATCCAACCAGGATAGAAAATGTACCATAAAAGAGCTTGCTGAGTTAAATGTAGAGAGGAGAGCCTTTCTGTATGATACTCATGAGCAAACTCATACTAAAATTAAACCCCATGAAAGTAGAAAATCTATCATCACTGAGTCATAGTTCTTTAAAGACCAGGAAATACATAAAATAGGGAAAGCACATGCATGTGCTAAATATGGGAAAGCTTTCCTCAAGAAGTCTCAGCTTTGGGATTGGGGATTTAGCTCAGCGGCATAAGCACCTGCCTTGCAAGCAGGGGGTCGTGAGTTCGATTCCTGGTACCAATAAAAAGGAAAAAGACGAAAAAAAAAAAAAGTCTCAGCTCGCTGGACATAAAAAGATTCATTTAGGAAAGAAATCTCGTGAATGTAGTATCTATGGGAAAACCTACAAGAAGTTCTCTAAACATCTGAATGTTCACAAGAGAGAAACTCTGACTGGTAAATGTGCGAAAGCCTTCTTCAGGAAATCTCAGGTTTTCAGCATCAGAAGATACTGGAAGTAAGCCCCATGTGTGCCCCAAATGTGGGAAAAGTTTGCCGTGAAATCGCCACTCATTGTGCATATGTGGATTCATATAGGAGAGAAGCCTCACTTATGTGGTGAATGTGGAAGAGGGTTCATTCAGCAGAAGGGCATTCTTCTGATACATCAGCAAACTGTCATGGGAGAGAAGCCCTATGGATGTACCGACTGTGGTAAGGCCTTCAGCCAGAAGGTCTGCCTCATAGCTCATCAGAGATACCACACAGGAAAGACATCTTTTGTATGTATAGAGTGTGGACAGTCCTATTCACAGAAGTCAGTGCACATTAGACATCAGAGAGGTCACACCGAGAGAAACTCTATGAATGCAGTGACTGTAGGAAAGGCCAAGCTGATTACCCATCATAGAGCTCATGCGGGAGAGCAACCCTATGCATGTAAGGAGTGTGAGAGAGCTTACTCCTACATGTCTTGCCTTGTTAAACACAAAAGAACACACAGCAGGGAGAACTACAGAGATGCAGAGAAGGTGCTAATTCCTCAGTGAGTCACACCGTCTCTGACAGAAGTAAACTCCTGCAAGGGAAAAACCTTGTTAATACAACTGTGCAAATACCTTCTGTGGTCCCTAAGGTGTCAAATATCAGTGGGTTCCTAGGAAATAGGAATGTGGTGCCTGTGGGACCGTCCAGAGGCCAAATGTCTGCCCTCAGGAGAAAACAATACCTGAGAGAAACCTCTTGAATGTGATGAATGTGGTTGTACCTCCAGTCATTAATTATGTCTAATTTTATATCTCAAACATGTAAGAAAAAAGCCTGTATATTAATTTGGAAAAAACTTGCTGAATGTTTACTGAAGTGCTACCTTTGAAATCCTGTGAAAACGGAAACTAGGAAAGTTTTCTAGAAGCTGGACCTTATAGTGAATAATCACTGTGGATTATGGTGGAGCTTATGATAATGAATTGATTGTGAGAAAGCCTTTGCCTTCCAGAGGTGGTGTTACATACCAGAGAGAAACTGGGAAGGCAGTAAACCAGACTGGTAGGGACTAAAGTGATACCTTCTGTTCCCATTAGCAGATAAAACCATATTTAAAAAACAAAAAACAGGGTCAGGGATTTAGCTCAGTGGCATAAGCATCTGCCTGGGAAGCACAGGGTCATGAGTTCAATCCCTGGTACCAAAAACTACAAAGAAAACATTAACTGGAGAGCCTTTAGCAAAATTCTAAAGTGATCTTGATACAAACATCCTGTGAAAAGGAGAAATGTTTAAACTCTGTTCTTTTCCAAACCTAATTATTCTGAACAGAATAACTGAAATATATTCCTATTACTATGTTGGTGATTCCATAATTTAAGAGCCTCAGAGACAGGAAGTACAATTCAGATACAGCTCTTGCCCTTGCCCACCATGCCCAAGGCCTTGTATTTGACTGTCAGTACTGCAAAAATAAGAAAACCTCTATTTCCCACTATTTGGTTATCATTTTGTATTCATTTCTATTTGTGGGTTCTTTTGTATTTTTTCCTCTCAATTACTCATCCTCACCAAAGATGATTCAATTAGCTCATATTTCTAGCAGTGCTTTTTTTTCTGGTCCTGGGGATTGAAATCACAATCTCATGCTTGCCAGGCAGGTGCTTGTGCTGCTGAGCTAAACCCCTGACTCAGCTCTTCCATTTCTTAAACTCTCAATATTTCAAGACTGGAAATCCTTTGAATAAATGGGGTGAGGAACAGAATCAGAGAACACTACATTGCTGGAACTCCTCTGGTGTTGACATCATCAGGTAGGTGATGTCATCAGACAAAGGTGTACAGGGGTGATGTACTGAGCTATACAACATGCATAAATGTTGGGATTAGGCAATGGAACTGGTACAGACACCACAGTAATTTAGCCCAACCCCTGATGTATAGGGTCTTGAGGATGGGTACTAATCTGTCAACAAGGCCATAGCAGTAGAAACCTTGCAGCATTTCTTTGTTAGCTAATCCCAAAATGACAGTCTCAGATATCCTGGCAAAGTGCTGGATCTACCATATGAACATGGTAAATGTCACCAGCATTCCCAGTACCACAGTGTCAACTCACAGACCCAACAAAGCTTGCCAAAATGACAGTCACACCTGCCCCTCAAACAAGGGGGCTGGGTGTGCCTGTCTTTAACTTACCTGGTTCTGTGGCAGAATGTCACAGCCACAACTAGCAAGACCTACCTAGGTGGGCTGGTACTGTAGTGTATCACCTTACCCAGAAGAGTGTCTCAGTGGGAACAGTGAAACCAAAAGGACAGGATTGTTGGTAGTTACTTGTGGAGCTTCATGAAGCATACTGTTCCAGTCTTTCTGTACAAACAAGATGTCCTTCGTCTTGTGTAGCCCAGAATGTCCTATCTTCTGCAATTTTAAACCAAGCACGCTTTCTTGGGTCCCTCAGCTGCAGTGCAAGTGGGACATGTGTGGATGAGACCCTCCCCCAACCCACATTTTTTCTGAGCCTTGGAATACTGGCTCGCACTGGGCTTTGATAGGTCCCCACTGTCGGTTAGTAATAAGCTGACTTCATATAATGTGTATAGTTTTATTTCACCAGACTCAGACAGATTGGTAACTATTATCAGTTCTCAGACTCTTAATTTCTATCTCCTTTTACCCTGTCTTTGAAATTGTAGCCAGAGATCTCAGAATAAGAAGTTTTAACTCTTGAACAGTTAAGAAGCTGCACTTTTTCTGGTGGAACCCTTAGTCCTCTAATGCAGGAACTTCAGCATTCTTCCTGTCAGCCTCAATCCAGGGGTGCTCTGAAGGAGTCTTGCATATCCTAGTACTGAGTTAGGGGAGTGGAGCTTCACAGGTGAAACAGCTTTGTTCTCATAGCTCACTATAGAGAGCTGATGAGATTTATTAGAATAGGGAGAGGCAAATGAGATCCGGATGAGTGGGCTGAACCTAACAGTAGCTTGGAGTACTGCATACAGGCCTTTAGAATATGTTCAGGGGCTGATCTGTGATTATGGAATTATGCGATGGGTAATGTCAGTAAGCAATGGCACAAAGCTAATGTCAGCGTAAGGCTCAGGCTAAGTCGGTTTCTGGGACACAGATTTCAAGAAAGTGTTGAAATATTTTAGGCCTATAAATAGATGAATGGAATTGTAGTCAGGGTGATTTCATAGGTCGTTTTAAAAAATCAATTTACCATGCTTCGAAACACATGGGAGTTAATATCTCAAATGTTTTCTAAATATTTTTATATAGATTACATAGGCTAATAATGAAAAAATCATTACTTTCAGAGCATCTCCCATTGCTGAATTTTAGCTCTTAAATATAGTCTTCAGCATAAGTAACAGACTGTTAAGTCTAAAGACTTCATGATAGAAACTTGTTCATCCTTGTTAGATATCTAGAAATTTGCCATGCATTGAATATGTATTCAGTATATAGTTATATTATTTGATCAAATCTTGTTTAGTAAGCAATCAGATCTTCTTTAATAAAGATAAAAATATCTAAAAGGGCCAAAGTGGGGCCAGGGATGTAGTTTTTTTTTTTTTTTAATTAAAGGGAGGAAACACTGAAATAATGATAAAGGCTGAGGTGTGCTTCTATGGTAAAGTGCTTGCCTAGCATGAACAAAGTCCTGGGTTCAATCTCCAGTGCCACAAAATAAATGATAAATATTATAATACAACCAGTAACATGGCTATTATCAGGTACTGTGTGACGTAAAATACATATAAGTATATTGGTATGACTGCCAAAGTAGTAGATTTGTTATACCAGCAACACCACAAATAGTAACTTTAAGACATCTGAAAAACAATCCAATATGAACTATCAATATTTTTCTGCAATATCCAAGGTGTCATTAATCTCATTCAGTACGTAGTTTCAGAAATTGTATATTTTAATCTCTAGAAACTTGACACTGGCCATTCCTTTTTTTTTTTTTTTTTTTTTTGTCTTTTTCCTTTTTATCGGTACCAGGGATTGAACTCACGACTGCCTGCTTGCAAGGCAGGTGCTTATGCCGCTGAGCTAAATCCCCAGCCCCTGGCCTTTCCTTTTTATCTCTTTTACATCTCTTTAGTGTGGTTCAATTTTTTTAATATAACAAAAGTTTTTTGGGGGGAAAAGATGGAAAAGAAAGGACAGAGAGCTATCATGAAATGTGGGAGGAGGCTCGAGAGCTGACAGCCCCTCAATTTTTAACCTATTTTAAATTTCATACTGAAAATGAGTATGTAGTAGGCAGCACATAGTGGCCTTGATTTTGTTCCAGTTAGCCATCTCTTTAGTTGGTTATTTAGCTCATTTATATTTAATGTGAATATTGATGTGCTTAGGTTAAAATTAGTTGCTTTTTGTTTATCCAGTTTGTTCTTTATATTTTTTCTTTTTTCTACCATCTTCTAGAGTAACTAAATATGTTTTATGATTATATTGTATCTCCTCAGTTGGCTTTTCACCTGTGACTCTTGATTTCTTCTAAATTTGACCTTTTATTGTTTTGGGTGGGTGTGTGTTTGATTGGAGTTGGTTTTGAGAAAAGACTAGCAGTCAGTCCATGAATGATATTAAAGTGATTGTCTTAGTTACTTTTTACTCATCACTCAGACAAAATACCTGAAGTCCAAAGTTGGGAAAGGAAAGATTTTGGAGGTTTCAGTCCATACTCAGTTGGCTCCAAGACAGGCGGGCATGGCTGGGCCGCAGTTCATGGCAGCTGCAAACAGCAAGCCAGAACCAGAGAAGAGCAAGACACACCTTCTTCCTGCCATTACATCACATCCTGGCTCCACCCCTATGTGGGTGGAGCACTGACACCATCAATCCAAGCACTAGACAATGAACCAATCACAAATACACAATACAAACTCATGAGGCCTGGGGGACACAGACATAAACCATGACAGTGATTTACCTTTTTGCCTGCTTGTCATTTTAGTGGGAATCAACACATTTGCTATAATGAAACTCAACCAGCAATTTCATCTGAAATTTCTACTAGAATTTAAATACTATACATAAGGGATCTTTTATCTGTTCATAGTTTTCATATACCCAGCATACAGAAAGGCGATACATGTTGAGTACAAATGAGTACAAATACATGTTGAGTACAAAGGTGATACAAATGTTGAGTAGACTATACATTGGGTCAATTTAAAGACTATCTGAGCACAGTTTTATAATTATATAACTGTAGGGGGAGGTTTGGCCCTTTGAATTCATCGGTTAATTAATCAGTTGGGCCTTAATATTTAAGAGAAATCTGTCTCTTCTCAGGTTGATTTCAGGTTCTTTCTGCCTTCGCTTTTCACGTTGGTCCCTGACTAACCTTGTTGCCACCCTAACCCTAACAATTTTTCCATAGAATGCTTCATTCAGTGTAAATATCTCTGCTCCAGTAAATATGATCCATGAATTTAAGCTGCTGACATCCCCAGAAATTCTTACTCAATTCAGAGACACAGCTGGGATCTGTTTTGGTTTTTCCTCTGTGTGCTTCTGATCAGAAGTTCTCCAGATACTAAACTGAGGCAATTGTAAGTCTCATTTGATTTGTGTCCTTTGTCTCTGGGAAAGCTGTCCCTGGCTCCCTCTTGCCCAGTGCTTACATTTTATTTTTCAGTGTTCAAGGTTGAAGGATATACACATTAGAAATTCGCTGTTAAAGAAAAAGGGTGATTAAAATTGGCTTTGAAAGATATTGGTCAAGGGTCAGGCATGTGGTTCAGTAGCACAGCACCTGCCTGACAAGTGCAAGGTCCTGAGTTCAATTCCCAATGCAAAAAAAAAAAAAAAGATATTGGTCAATAATAAAGTGTGCTAGTGTATATGGATTTCATATTCAGACTTGATGTTAATTTATACAATTTCAAAATAGATGCAAATTTATGTTTGGCAATATTTTAAACAGGATAAATTGCACATTCTTTTAAGACACTTATGGGTCCTTTGCTAGTGCTAGTAATATATACATTTCAAGGACATTCTACAATGTTCCCAATCAGAGTAAAAGTCTGTCATAAAAACTAGGCTAATTACTTGGATCATTGTTACTTTACATAATAACTTCTTTAGGAACACAGTTTTCCAAATTTACTTCACAGCTAGATGTGAATTTTCTCACTGTTTTGTTTGGTTTCATTTTAAGTTCATGTTGAAAACTAGTCATATTTGCTTCAGACTCTGAGCATGTTTATGTAAGGTTGAATGCTGGCAGTGAATTGCGTTTTTCTCTAACTGGAATTAAGTGTCCATTGGGCACTTGATCACAGAGATAAAAAGCTAATTGATACAGAAGATTTCAGTAATAGTAATAAGTCTGAAAGCTAACCACTTTTAAAAAATGGCACCTTTATCTTTGAGCAGAGATCTTCTGTTAGATTTGTAGAATCAGAAAAGACTACATCATAGATCACACCTTAGAAATGTTGGTCATTTCCTCACAGCAGAAGAAAA